GTAACATAGCTTGTGTGATAATAGAGACTCAAACTCAGGTGCATCAGACAGGCCACCGTGAGAGCAGAAGGTGGACTTTCAAAACGACTCCATCATCCTCTCAGTCCTCCCCCAGTCCTCACCAAGAAGCATTTAATCTAATTTTAAAAGTCTGCTTGCTCTGCCAACACAGCTTCAAGAGATTTCCTGAGTACTTTCTCCTCTAAACTAGATTGCCACCTGATTTATCATATTACATGTGATAAGAACCCGATCTGTGTAAATTTTGGAGTCCCCCCACCCCCTCTGCTTTAAAGCATGTGTCCTTGAGACTGCTCTTTGGAAGGTAAGCCAAGGGCAGTATAAAAGTGAAATAAAATGTATTGACAAAGTTAGAGCCAGTGTATGAACTGTCAGACTGCTCCAGACTGCTTGGGTTAGAATCTTGACTCCTCCAGTGACCAGTTCTGTGACCTTCACCAAGTTTCTTCTATTGAATGTCTTACTCTTGTCATTTGTAAAGTGGGCATGATAGTATCTGTCCCATAGTTTTTGTGAGAATTAAATGGGTTACAATATCGAAAGTCCTTGGAAAGGTGTCTACACCACAGTAAAGCCCAATCAAAATGTTAGATATTGCGGAATACCAAGAAGCCCATAACCAAGGAGTTTTGCTTCTAGAATAAATGGGGAGAAGGCACTGCTGATAACTCAGCTTGGACTGGGGAGGCTTACTGTAGGATTTGAGAACCTTCATGATTCAATTATGAGATAGAGATTTTTGTAGGATGGAGATGGTGGGAAGAGTTAATGTAAGAATGAAGTGTTGCTTAAAGAAAATTTGGAGTCTTAACAAGTGTAACTATATCTTAAGTTAGGGATTTCAAGTGGGTTCAGCACCCAGGCCAACTTAGGTACATTTAATGCACAATTCTTCTGAGGTCAAGTCTAGATTCAATAGAATAGCATGTGGTGGGAAGTTAAGATTGCCGAAGGTGTTGGAAGGTGCCAAATGAGTGCCAAATGTTTGCCCTTCTACCAATAAATGACCTTCCTAGGACAAGGACTTAGGTTTCCCACCACCCTTTTTAGCCTCTGCTGTTTCTGCTATGTGCCACCTCCCTTGATATATGAAAAAATCCCATAAATTATTTATTAAAAAATTGTGTATTTATTCTTACATGTTTAAACTCCAGTCACCTTCAAAGTACTCTCCATTTGATGCAATATATCTATCAAGGTGCTTTTTGAACTTTTCAATTCTGATGCCTTTTAGTGTTTTGCCATTTTGTGTTTCATGTCTTCCACATCAGCAAAACGTTTCCCTTTGTGGACTTTTTTCATCTGGGGAAACAGAAAAATGTTGCTTGGGATGAGATCAGGTGAATAGGGAAGGGATCATGCCATGAAATGGGCAAACACATTGAAAATATCTCCAAAAGAAAATTCACTGAAGCCGAACGCAGCCTCTCACAACAATGCTAGCTGGTATACTGATGCCAGTGGGTTCCTAGAACACTTACCTACTGGGAGAAGCTTGTACTACATGGGACCTATACTCCAAAAAATAATTCCATTTTTTTGGGGGGGGTACTGCCTTGTATAAGAAGAATGCCATGAAGTTTGGGATCCTTTATGAGAAATTAGGATTCGAATCATGGTGTTTCAGGAAACAACATTAGGACTCAAGTGAGGGAAATAACATGTCCAGAGAGGTTTGCTAGAAAACAGAATATGGCAGCATTGGGGGAATGAGAAGAGAGGTGGTCTTGGTGGAATCTGATGTTTCAAGCAAGGTTGGTCTTACTGTTCTTCAGGTTACAGATTAAACATGCACAGGAAAAAAGAAGAGACGCAGAAAGCTACCGTAAGTGGGAGTTGTTGGTAAGAAGACTAATTGTGGGTTTTGGTGGATTGGATATATGGAGAGAAAGTCAAATAGTTCAGCACCAATAATGGATGCTATTCCCTATGATCAGGTAGAATTTTTGATATTTAGATAAGTTGGGCATTTATATTTCATTATTTAGATTTGGATTATAGGTATCTATTTTATTGGGTGGTTAAGCCCTTTGGTGGTACTATCTTTGTGTGGAAGGCACTGTAGGGAATGGGGTGGAAGATTTGAATCTAGGTTCTGCAGCTTGCAAAGGGAATGGTTTTGAGCAGGTTGCCTGACCTCTTTGGGTCTTGGCTCATTCATCTATAAAGTAAGGATGAGCAGGCTATTATGAGGATCAGATGAAATAAAACACACCAAGTCCCTTATGTAGTGATGGCCATGGAAAATGTTCTTAGTGAAGGCTAGATCCTCTCCTGCCCCTGTCCCATGCCTTTCCTGTTTCTTCTTTGTTGTTGATGTCAAAGGCAGGAGCATCAAGGTGCCATGTACTGTAACTCAGAGTGATCTGGGCACTTTGTTATTTTCCTTGCAGGAGAAAGTGTGGACCGATGATGTCATCCAGTTAGAATTCTTTAATCTCTCTTTACACCTAGAAGCAGTTTTTGTTCTTGCCTTTGCTATTTTATTTATACAATGCAATTTTTAGAAACATGCAAAGCAAGGAACTGAAATCTGAAATGTAAATAAAGGACTCTAAGCAGGGGTTCTGTGAATGATCTCTCCGCGCCCCCTCCACTGTAGTAGGTATGTAGCCTGTAAGACATGTCTTTCTTAGGACATCTCGAATGAGAATAGGGGAATAACAGTTATGATGTATATATCCCACTTGCTTCCCTTGAGAAGAAAAAGGTTATACATGATGGTGGCAGAGGTAACAAAGCTCAGAAAGGGATTTTCCTGGGGATCTCCAACAAGTCACTTACCAACTATGTGATTCTAGTTTCTCAGCTGTCATATGGATAAAATAGGCACTAGATGGGAGTGTTGTGAGAGCGCTAGAGGTAACTTGGAAATCACATTCTGTAGTTTCAGGCACATGATGGGTGCTCATTAAACATTTGTCCCTTTCTTTTCTCCCATTCCTTGGAACAAAAGTGTTTGTCCACTGTTCTATAAAGCTGTAGAGATCTTCCCTTCCAAAACTCACATATATATTTGTAGAACTGAGGTTTAGACTGTTGCAGTTTGCTCAGAAGAGATTGGCAGACTCCCTGGGCCTTTGTGAACTGCCGCCATCAGATGAGAAGTTATTGCTTCTTAGTGACTTACCTGTAGGCTCAGGAACTATCTTTGAGGTTATCTTTTCTGGACAGAAACTATTTGCATCTCTGCTTGACAAAAATCTTCAAGTTAACCCCTGTTTCTACAAAACTATAAAGAGCCCAGTCAAAAGGAAGCCAATCAAAAGTGCCAACTAAGCACTGCACTGAAGAACAGCCAGTGATCTCTTTTGCCTCTTTCCAAGTTTTAGGTGATTTTTTCTCACTCCATCCTTGCATTAAAAGGCCTGAATGGCTGTGTGTGGTGGCTCATGCCTGTAATGCCAGCTAATAAGGAGGCTGAGGCAGGAGGATCACTTGAGTGCAAGAATTCAGGATTGTAGTGAGCCTTGATTATGCCATTCTGCACTCCATCCTGGGCAACAGAGAGAGACTTCATCTTTTTTATCAAAAAAAAAAAAAAGTCAGGATACATATTTACAGCTAGATAGGAGAAATAAGCTTAAGGGATCTTGAACAGCATGGTGACTATAGTTAATGATTATTGGATTTTTGAAAAATGATAAGAGAGTGAATAAGTGTTGTCATCACGAAAATGACAGCTACCTATATGCAGTAATGCATTTGTTAATGAGCTAAATGTAACTATTTCACAATGTACATATACTTCAGAATATCATGGTATACATAATAAAGACATATAATTTTATATGTAAATTGGAATACATTTTGAAAAAAAGGCCTTGTTAAAACTCTGTACAAGGTTAGAGTTTTGATTTTGGGAAACAAATGAGTGTAATCTGATGCAAAACCTAGTCATAGAAAGTGATTTGTATGATTATGTTTTAATGCTCAAATGTTTGTATTTCATAAAGTTTTTGATGGTTCCATAGGGTGTATGTATTTCTAGAAGGCAGTGTTTATGGAGTTTTCATATTCTTGAATAAGTTGGTATTTTAGGTACAAGATATGGGAATATTGAATAGTGAACTCAACTATGGCTCTCATGCTCTGTCCCAAATGGATTTTTCTATTGTGTCTCTAAAAACTCTTCCTCTGGTACTGAGTTCTATGATCCAGGCAAAATGAACTACTCATGCCCAGTTGCACATTTTTCAAATGATTTTTGCTAAGGCTGCTGTCTTGGCTGGAACGTAGTTTGCCACATTCTTGTCTGCTGGAAACTTTACAGAGCATTCCATGAGGACTTCACCCCTATATTACTAGTAACATTTTGCTTTCCTCTCATATTGTTTGTAATACCTTGTCTTTAATTTGTTATTTGTGGACCTCCTTGTCTATTCTACCAGATTATGCACTTTTTAGGATTAAGTGCTGGGGCCTTATCTGTCTTTGTGTTTCTTGATGACCAGAGGTTAGGTTGTGTATCCCACAGCCTTTCTGAGGGTTTACCGAATTGGAGGGAGTACTAGAAGATGGTGGAAGAGAACTTACCATCTGCCTGGCTCCAATAATTCTAATATTGCCCCTATGAAGTAGACAAATACTTTAATCAAATAGCTGTGACTCACTGTTGAACAAACAATTGAGGAGATACTATACATCGTCTTGCACCAGGTGCTTTGGACAAAAAAAAGACAAGAGGACATAGCTTGTTTAAGTCATGCACAGCTCCATAAATAAATAAATGGAATGTTGCATAACACTTGCTCAAAGCCACACAGCCTGTGAGTGGCAGACCTGTCATTAAAATCCAGATCTGTTCAACTCCAAAGCCACGATGCTTCCAGACAGAAAAACCAGCAGTGCTCAGAGTGGAGTCTCTTCAGACTCCTCAGGCCAAAACAACAGCCTTACTCTGTGTATTAACTGAAAAGGCACGTCTTCCTTTCAAAATTATTACTAAATCAAACCATTTTGTTTTATTCACAAATTAGGTCCTCCAGAAGCTTGGAAAAGCTGATGAGACAAAAGACGAACAGTTTGAAGAATATGTCCAGAACTTCAAACGTCAAGAAGTGAGTTCATTAATCTGGTTTGGGTATTGCGGAATGTTTTAACTGTGGTTGTGTTTTAGTATATAAGCAAAATGCACCAAGATTGAAGAAAGAACAGATGCAGTCGGCATTAACTTGAAAGTAACACTTGCTAATTTTGTGGAATTTCTTGTGGAAGACGGGGGAAAAGTCTATAGGCATTGCAGGAATGGTTTGGGGTGTAATCTCTAAGGAGATAAGGACTTTACTATTTTGGACCTCTTCAATACAGCTGACTGATCTATAGGAAAGATGATTTTTTCATGATTTGTATTCCACTGACTATTAGAGAAGCAATATTCAGTACTTCTGGCAAGATGACCTCAATTGTTGCATGCTTCAAGATCGTGCATTCTCAGCAGAAATTATATCTCCCACAAAGGGGTGAAAATTGGTACTTCATAGGTGAAGTACCAATTCACCTATGAAGTACCAATTTTCACGTATGAAACATAGATAAGCATAACATTAAATGAATAGATGTATAGCATATCTATGGTATTAAAATTTCATGAAGGTGCAATTAGAAAAAAATTTCTAAAAATATTCCACAGAGGAGGTGCTAATGGAAACAAAAGGTTAAAAAACACGATTTGTGATGTTTGTTCTTTGGTGAACCGACATGGACACATGGATAAAAAATGATTTTTAAACTTTTCTGTTTTGATTTCTAAGGATTGGATAATTGACTAGAATATCACTCTTCAGAAAGCATTGAAAACTTCTCAATGAATGCCATGTTACTTTGCAAAGAAGTCCCCAATATTTGCTGTAAAAGGTGGGATTTAGTCTGAAGAAGTGGTTCGTGTTTATAATTTTCCCTATCTGAGGATTCATACTCTACAATTTAAAATTTCATTTTCCTGTCTCATGTATCTCCATGGAGGTAGTTAGTTATTTACTCTTGGGTTCTTCTCTCTCTTTCATGACATTTTGATGTGGTTTCAGAAAGGTGTATGTTAGAACTCTGCTTGGGGCTTAGTTTTATTTTATTCCAACAACTGTTTTTCTTCGTGATCCCAAACCTCTTTTCCTAAAAGGTGGTTTGTGTGAGACTGAGAATGTGGAAGAAGGGTCTGCACATACTCTCTTTTGTCCATTGGACTGCCAATTGGTGTAGTTTTGTGCTCCAAATTTCATAAACGACTTAATTAAGACATGGAGAAAGGAGCAAAGTAAAGGTAGAGCAACAGGGAGTAGGGTCAACTTCTCTACAATAAACTCAGAATTCTCCATGATTATGAGTACTTGGGAAAGCAAGGATTATAGAAATCCAGCAGGAAGAACAAAATCTGACTTCAGCATTTCCTCCCCAGAGGGTTACTTTTTTCCTTTTCTATTTCCTCTCTCTTACCAGAGCTGCTAATAAGTAGCAGAATTGACTGGTGTGAACATCAGCTACTTTCAGTTCCCTTGGTTACTTGCTGTTGGATCCCTTAATTAAGAGCAGAGAAAAGGTCTCACAGCAGAAGGAAGGTGTTTAGCTTATAAACTTACCCACCGAGATGCCATGCATTTGGCAAATGTGCTAATGACAACAAGGTATCTCAGGAGTTAGTTGAGCCAGATAACCAACTATTTGATCACGTCTTAGTGAGTGCAGATCTCAGCACCCGAATCCAGGTCTGATCTAAGAACAATCATTAAAATAAAGGAAAGGGGGGATCTTAATTCTCCTCCTCACGTCTCCATAGCTTTCTAGTCCCTCTCTGAAACAGAGATGTTGTTGTGTGGCTCTACTGTGGCTATGACTGAGTGATGGGCTAACTGTGGTATAACACACACTGATGAAATCCTGGGACCTTGAAATCCTCTTCAGGGTGTGACTTCAGAACCAGTGCCTTCAATGAGTAGGATACCCCAGGGGATGCTTGAAAGCTGAACCATGTCCTCTCCTTAGAGTTCACTGACCCCTCCTAAGCACAGGGACCCTGTTTTGTTGCTTTTATCTTTTTATCACCATAGGATCTAGTGCTTTGCAGGTAAACTTAACAAATACCTGCTAAACTTGAATTTTGAACTAATGGCAGAAATTATCATTTTTGAACGTATTTCTAGAGTATATTTTTATTTCTGGGACAGAAGAGATTTTGTATATGGTATGTATTTTGTAAGTAGTCTCGTGACTTTTTTTTAGAACCCAGTGCATGTATATAAATGATTAAAACTAAAAACGTCAGAAGTTTTGAAAAAGAATATAATACAAACATGCCACAGTGTCTTAATATGTGGATATAATTATTTATGGTAAATTATACTTACAGACTGAAAATTTTTACTGTTTGCAGTTGCTTAAGCAGATACCTTAGAACTGTTTTCCCTCTTTTTTTTGCCACAGGTAACCATAATGTGCATATGTTAGTCTATTTACCTTTTATTAAATATTAATAACAACCTTCTTGTGAGATAGCCACTGCCTTGATTAAACATGAGTCCATCAGTTCTGTTTTGAATAATGGTCCAATTCTAAATGACAGTATGAATAACCTCAGTTGGTCAGGTTATCAGGAGGTATTCTGGGTTCCATGTCAAAATCTCTGGTAGCAAGTTTTGTGGCCTTCAAAGCAGTATTTTTCACATGTTGGCTGTATCTGAATCACCTGGAAGGCCTTGGTATGGCATAAAGTGTTGGGCTCCACCCCTAGAATTTCTCATTCAGTGAGTCTGAGGAGAGGTCAGAGAATCTGCATTTCTGACAATTTCCCATGTGATGTCGATGATGCTGGTCCATAAACAACACATTGAGGACAAGTACATTGTATCCACTCATACAGTTTTTTTCCAAGTGTTTCCTCCGGTTAATCTTTTAAACTTGTAATAATATGTTTGACATTTATTTTTAGTGCTTGGAGATCATGCTCTGGATTATCTGTTATCTGCACAGATCAAATCAGCTAAGAGGATGTGATCTTTAACAAGCATGATTTTGGGTGCAGTAATGGAGCTCCTTTTCTCCCAAGGTTGTGCAGCTTGGAAACTGGATGCCCTGTTAGAACACAGATGCCCCTGTTCACGCCTTAAAGAGAATGAGAGTAATGAGGCTCTTTCAAGGTAGTAAGATTTAATAAGGGATTGTATAGAAAGTATTGTAACTCTGGATATAGGATCCTGAGAAAAAAATGAAAAGTATTCATCTGGGGATTCAGTCAGGTTCAGCCAGTATAAGGCCTTGAAAATGAAAATGTCTTCTCTCCAAGCAGCTGAAGCAATGCTGGAAGGGAAATTTATAGCATTAAAAGCTTACTTTTAAAACAGGGAAAGGTCTCAGATCAATAATCTAATTTCCTACCTCAGGAAATAAGAAAAAGAAGAAGAAAATAAACTCAAGGCAACCAGAAGGAAGAAAAAAAAGAGGAGAAATTAATGAAACTGAAAATAGAAAAACAATTGAGAAAATAAATGAAACAGAAAGCTTATTTATTGAAAAAAATCAATAAAATGGATAAGCCTATAGTAGGACTGACAACAAAAAAGACATAAATTACCCATATCAAAATGAAACAAAATATATTACTAGAGATGCTGTAGCCATTCAAGGATAATAAGGAAATGCTATGATCAACTTTGTGCCTATAAATTTGACAACCACAGTGGACTGTCTTCCTCCCCACTACAAAATACCAAAAGTTAATCAAGATGAAGTAGATAATCTGGGTAGTTTTATAACTATTAAAGAAGGTGACCTTGTGACTTAAAATCTGAAAAAGAAATCTCCAGACCCCCAGTTGGTTTCATAGAAGAAGTCTGACATTTAAAGAAAAATGAACACCATTTCACACAATCTTTTCCAGAAAATAGAAGAGAAAGGAACACTTCTCAATTGATATTATATGGCTAATATTACCTTGATAGTCAAGCCAGGCAATAAAATGATATAAAGAAAACTGTAGACTATTATGTCTATCCTTAAGATATGGGCAAATCAGTTTCAACAGTGTATAACAAGAGTTATATACCTTGAGCAAAAGGATTTATTTCAGATATGCAAGGCTGGTTTAACATTCCAAAATGAATCAATGTAATCCGCCATAGAAATAGGATAAGGAAGGAAAAAAATCATGATTATATCACTTGATGTATAAAAGATATGTGACAAAATCCAACATCCATTCACGATAAAAATGACCAACAAGCAAGGAATAAAGGAGGTTTATCTCAACTTGATAAAGAGCATCTACAAAAACCCCCCAAAACCCTATAGATAATGTTATAAATAATGGTAAAAGACTGAAAGTTTTCCCCCTAAGTGGGAACAAGGCAAGGATGTCCACATATGTCCAGTGTCATTCAATATAGAACTATATTTAACCAGTGCAGTAAGGGAAAGGAAACAAAAGGCATAAAAATCATAAAGGAAGAAATAAAACTGCTTTTATTTACAGCAGACGTGATTGTGTTCATAGAAAATCCTAAGACATCAACACATACTCTGTTAGAATTAATGAATTCAGCGAGGTCACAAGATAAAGATCAATACACAAAAATCAGGGAAGGGGCAAGATGGCCACCTAAAAGCAACTGACTTTTTCCTCTCTCATGGAGTAAACCACCTCCCTTGAATGCCCAGAGACTGAGGAACTTTGGAAGCTTCCATAGCCCCACTTATCGCCTAGGCCATCTGATTGCTTCCCTGGGCAACAGAGTTCAAGCAGAAAGCCCACAGCCACCACCAGAGTTGTCTGTCTCCTGCAAGTGCCATCTCCTGGCCAGAGGTCAACTGGCACAGCCCATTACAACATATGATCCAATAATATAGCCTTTAAGAAGAAGATAAGAGCAAAGCCCATGTCAGCACATCTTGTAGACTACTCCATAGATGGAGGCATCAGAGAGTTTCTCCAGAGTGTCCTCCAGAGACATCAATGACCAACTCTTTTTAGAACTCAACCATTGTACCTTCATATCACTGAATCCCTCCCTTGCAGGTATCATCCAGCACGAGCCAAATTGTAGCAGCCTCATTAGGGAAGCTAGACCCAAAA